GACACTACAAAAAAGACAGTTACAGCTCAATATCTCTGACACATGTATCAACAGATGCAAAAATCCCCACCAAATGTTAGCAAATCAATCCAACAACATATAAAAAGGATCATACATCATGATCAATTTGGATTCATTCCAAGGATGGTTCAACATACACACATCAATCAAAGTGATACACCATATGCCATAAAAAAAGACAAAAGCAACATGAGCATCTCAATAAAGTTAGAAAAAGCAGTTGATAAAATTTAATACCCATTCATGATAAAAACTCACATGAAAATGGGTATAACAACGTAATGCTAAATAACGTCCATTTACAACAAATCCAGAGCTAATACAATATTCAGTGGCAAAAAGCTGAAAGCCTTCCCACTGAATTCTGAAACACCAACATGGATGCCAGCTCTCATCATAGTATTAGAAGTCCTAGCCATAGCAATTAGATGAGAAAAAGAAATAAAAGGTATCCAAACTGGAAGGGAAGAGATAAAATTGTCATTGTATGCAGATGATATGATACTCTATATAGAAAACCCTAAAGACTCCATATAAAAACTATTAGAATAAATGAATTCAGCAAGGTAGCAGGGTACAAGATCAATACACAGAAACCTGTTGCATTTCTTTATACTAACAAAGAAATATAAGAGAAAGTAAAAAATTTATTGTGTATTTAAAATTGTATTAAAAAAATTAAATACCTGGAAAAAAAACCTAACCACTGAGGTAAAAGACCTATATGTAAGAACTATAAAACACTGATAAATGAAACTGAAGATGATACAAAGACATGGAAACATCTCCCATGCACTTGTTCTGGAAGAATTAATATTGTTAAAAATAGCCATAGTACCCAAAGCTATCTACAGATTTCATGTGATCTTTATCAAATTATCCATGACATTTTTCACAGAGCTAGAACATATAATCCTAAAATTTATATGGAACTACAAAAGACCAAGCATTGCCTTAAGAACAAAGCTGGAGGCATAACCCTCCCAGACTTCAGACAATATTACAAAGCTACAGCAATCAAAACAGCATGGTACTGTCACAAAAACAGATCAAAAGAACAGAAGGGAAAAAGGAGATAGATCAAAAGAACAGAATAGGCAGCCCAGGAATAAACCCACACACCTACAGTCATTAACCTTAACAAAGGAGGTAAGAATATACACTAAAGACAGTCTTGTCAGCAAGTGGAGCTGGAAAAGCTGGATAGCCTCATGTAAGTCAATGAAGTTAGAACACTCCTTCACACCATACACAACAATAAATATAAAATGGCTTAAATACTTAAACATAAGATATAACACCATAAAACTCCTAGAAGAGAACATAGGCAAAACATTCTCAGACATAAATGGTAATGTTTTCTTAGATCAGTCTACCAAGGTAAAAGAAAGAAAAGCAAACATAAATTAATAGGACCTAGTGAAGTTTGTAGATTTTCTCATAACAAAGACATAAACAAAAAAAAACAACATTAAACAAAGAAACCATAAACAAAAAACAAACTACAGACTGGGAAAAATATTTGCAAATAATGAGACCAACAAGGGCTTAGTTCCCAAAATATACAGACAACTTAATATAAAAAAAGTCAATAAATAGACGTTTTTCCAAAGAAGACATACAGATGGCCAACAGGCACATGAAAAGATGGTCAACATGGCTAATTATTAGAGAAATGCAAATCAAAACTACAACAAGGTATCACCTCACACCAGTCAGAATAGCCATCATGAAAAAGTCTACAAATAATAAATGCTGGAGAAGGTGTGGAGAAAGAGTACCCTTCTATTCTGTTGGTGTGGATGTAAAGTGGTGCAGCCACTATGGAGAACAGTATGAAGATTCCTTAAAAAACTAAAAATAGAGTTACCATATGATCCAGCAATCCCACTCCTGGACATACACCTGAAGAAAACTATAATTCAAAAAGATACTTGCACTGCTATGTTCATAGCAGCACTGTTCACAATAGCCAAGACATGGAAACAATATAAGAGTTCATGAATAGATGAATGTATAAAGAAGATATGGAATATATACAATGGAATATTACTCGGCAATGCAAAAAGAATGAAATATTGCACCAAAATGGATGGACCTAGAGATTATCATACTAAGTCAGAGAAAGAGAAATATATGTTAAAAACTTATATGTGGAATCTAAAAAAAACTACTTATTTACTAAACAGAAATAGACTCATAAACATAGAAAACAAACTTGTGGTTACCGAAGGGGGATGGATAAATTAAGAGTATGGGATTAACAGATACTCAGCACTAGATATAAAATAGATTAACATCAAGGATTTACCTGTATAGCACAGGGAACTATATTCAGTATCTTATAACAGAAAGGGATCTGAAGCCGTATGCCTGAAACTAGCGCAGTATTGTAAATCTACTATATATAATAAATACTTTTTAAAAAAGTCTTCCTGATGAGCAACGGCTATGGAGGCAGTTTAGCAAAGAGCACCTACATGGAGTTGAGGACTTTTATCTGGTTGTGAATGGGAGTCAACATTTTTCTCAAGAACCCCAAGCAAAGGAAGATTGAGTAATTCTGCCACATTTTCCTGGCAGACAAAGCTGGCAGTTGAGCCAGGGAGCCCCACAGACAGGCAGATCAGCCATGGAGAGAAATCAGAAGGCTCGAGAGTGCTCAGGTACTGGTTTAGAGCGCAGCACACTGAATACAGCAGAGAAGAAAGAGGTCAGCATTAGGGAGGCCGGTGTAAACGGGCAACAAGGCCCCGAGAAGGACCTAAGAGCAGGGGTACAGTGAGGGCACTGACTCAGTACCCAGCCCATGGGAAAGATAGGGCTTTAGAGTACATTCTGCGGTTACAAAAGCAGACCTTCATGAAAGCATTAATTTGTTCTTCCTTTCAGTCACTCCACAAACATTTACTGAAAATCCACTATATCACAGGCACAGCAGGGCACAGTGATTGAAAGCTGACTGTAATCTCTATTGTCCAGAAGCAGACTTCTATACAGAGGCAGGCATACAGAGAGATCCTGACTTTTATCAGTACAATGACAGAGATGAAATGGGCCCTGCGCACTACAGGGCCTTTAGAGAAAAGACACCTGACGCCACCTGAGAGGGTCAGTGTAGTTGGCTGTTTCCTAATATGGGTAAAGGGCTTCCCTGGTGGCTCGGTGGTAAAGAGTCTGCCTGCCAATGCAAGAGACATAGGTTCGATCCCTGGGTCAGGAAGATCACCTGGAGAAGGAAATGGCACCTCACTCCAGTATTCTTGCCTGGGAAATCCCACGGACAGAGGAGCCAGACAGGCTACAGTCCATGGGGTGGCAAAGCAACTAAACGACTGAGCAACTAAACAACAATATGGGGAAAAGAATACTGTCTTATGAGTAGCCAAATATTCTATATTTTCAGTCCAAAGAATTAGAATGTAATAAAATGTAATTATAACAAATACTATCAAATGCCAGCAGTCTTGCTCTGATGAGCGAGGTGTGTTTAGATCTTCTAGAGCTTACAAGTCAAGGAGTGGTCATGAGCAGGGCCCTGGGGCCAAGTGTGTACCAGTGACAGCTCGGCAATGACTTAGCCTCTCTGACCCATTTAGGCATCTGCACAAGAGGGACACTATCAGTGCCTGCTTCGTGCAATTGTCAAGATAATGCACCTACAAGCTTTTGCAAAGCATCTCTGATGCATGCTCATTGCCCAGCAAACACTGGGCATCACAATTATTATTGTAGATGTGCTGAGTAATGGCAGTTTTAAACAACAGAAGGCAATTTAGGATACCTGCTGCACAAATTTGTACCCTGGTCATATTGGGTAGGGGTCACGAGACTTTAGGCCCTGGGTGTGAGTGTGGGCTGGGTTTTGGCAGGTAGTACAGTCTTTGATGTGGCCAGTTTGTTGGGCAGGATATGTTGGGTAGGCTTACTAAGATACCCAGAAAGCTAAACTGTGCTCTTGGTGTCCCTGTGATTCTTATTATGCAGTTAGGATCACTTCACCCCACACATGGAAATTTCTTGGTTTTTCCCAAAAGTAGCTTTATTCCTAAATCAGACAGTTGTCATCATTGGGATTCTTTTGCTTTCTCTAGGAACCCAGAATTTGAAAACCATCTGGGTGTTGTGGGTGACAGGGCTTAGATGGGTGCAATGGTGTGCTGGTCAGTCTCTTTAAAAAAAAAAATATAAGTAAGAGTTAGTTGCTCAGTTGTACCCGACTCTGCGACCCCATGGACTGCAGCCCACCAGGCTCCTCTGTCAATGGGATTTTCCAGGCAAGGATGCTGGAGTGGGTTGCCATTTCCTTCTCCAGGGGATCTTCCCAACCCAGGAATCGAACCCAGGTCTCCTGCACTGCAGGCAGATTCTTTACCAACTGAGCTACAAGGGAAGCCCAAAAAATGTAATAAAGAAATGAATGAATGAGGCCCTAATGTGTAGGACTCACCAATTTCTGTGATATAAATATTCCCACCATAGCCTATTTCAAGTTACTGATGATTTAAAAGCTGCCTTGCAAAATTCCTGAATGCCTAACTATCTATGCCCCTGAGCCAATGTGAGCTGGTTCCATCACCCACTGGATAGCTGTGAGCATCTGTCCTTACCACGCCCTGGGAGGCTCTTGCCTGTCTGTGCCTATGGTCCACTCCAGGACTCATGTCAGCAGATCTTGCACCGCTATTCTAGATTGTTTTTTTTTGGCTCATGTAGTTTTAAAACAAGTTGTGTTGAGAAATATCAAACTCAGAGTGATCCGTCTTGAGACGGACCCACTGAAATGTAGGCATCCAATTTCATATTACTATGAAGTAAAAGTTTAGTTCAGAAGCATTCTGAAAATCTTATTTGGTATACAAATGAGCTAAATTAGCAAAACCTCACTTTTTTCCAGCCTGCTGCTCATCCTCCCAAGGGGGAAAGAGAAATTGAAAATGCCAAGTGTGTTTCTGTACTATTGATTTTTCTGCCCCCAGAACACCGGAGCCGGAGCGATCGTCGGGAGCAGAGAGCTGCTGCACCCATCTCGGTAGCAGCTCCTCCGCTGCCCGCCTACCCCCCGGCCCACAGCCAGAGGAGACGCGAAGCCAAGGACCGGCACTTCTTAACGGTGAGCTTGGTGGCCCAGCAGCCACCCTGTGCCTGCCCAGTGGGAAGTCTGAGTGGGTCTTGGGAGTCAGTGTCCCTTCTCCTACCAAAGGAGACTGGGCTGCCTGGAAGAGCTAGTCATGGGCATTTGACAACTGAATTTTTCCCCTTTTGTTTCTGAAAGGAATGCCTCTTTCTTTGGAATAGAGTGGGGATACAGATTTGTTTTTCAGTTAATTGGCTGCACAATGCTATAAAGCAGTAACAGTTAAGGACTCTAAAGAGAAATTAGGAGTATGGGATTAAGATGTATACAGTGCTATATGTAAAAAAAGATTAACAGGATTTATTGCTTAGTTTTGTTGTATACCTGAAACTAACATGATATTGTAAAATAACTATACTTTAATAAAAATAAAGTCAGGGGGAAAAGTCCTTCAAATCCTAATTCTGCGTACAAGCTGAAAGATTTAGGGCTGGTTATTTACCTTCTTTGCCCTAAGCTTCCTCATCTGTAATATGGGGATATTAATAGTAGCTAGCTTATAGAGTTTGAGGGTTAAATGAGATAAGGCATGCAAAGATCTTAGCACAATGCCAAGCATAGAGCAAGACTTCAGTAAATGTTAATTGCTGCAACCACTACTGTTGTTACTAGCCAGGTGATAGCGTGGCTGTCTTGGTAAGGTGAACTGAGAAAGCACTTATGTGATGTGAAAAATTACTGTTTAAAGATGAATCATGTCATAATTTCATGCTTCCCCCATTCTATGGGTGTTCTGAGTAACCAGTTCCTAGAGTGATATCACCACACTGGTGATGTCAGCCTTTCCTGGGTGGGCGTGGCTGTAACTCGGCTCAAGCCCCCAAGTATGGATCAGAGATGATGAAGCTAAGACCAGCTCAGAATTCCTGGAAACACCATTACTCCAGGTGTGTCTTCTGAGGCCTCAGCAGGGACAGGTGAGCACTTTCTACTATCATTGAGGTGAGGGACTGCTATTTCTGTGACCAAATCAGCCCACATAGCCTGCCTGAGTGGTTGGACTCCTGTGCCCTTGTCATGCCAGTGTGAGGCCCTAAGTCTAAAGAAGTTATAATAGTGTAGGGAGAGGTCGAGGTTTTATTTGAAATTAAGGTTGTATGTATGATTATAAACCCTGTACCCTTATGGGTTTTATAACATGCAAATTAGATGCAAAATATATGGGTCACATGATGCCAGACACCCAGATGAGAACAGATTTCATCTAAATGACTCTCATGATATATCCAGATAAAACAATGAGTGATATTTAACAATAGACAGACTTTTTCCTACCTGTGGCTAGACAGTAGGCTTCATGTCCTTCAGGTTCATCAAATGTCTGCTAAGTGCCATGTCAAACCACAGTGGCTGCAATGCAGCCCAGGGACCAGAAAGGAAGGTAAGAGTCTCTGAGGGCTTTCCAGGTCTTTATATAGAACAGTTACACATGCTAGTGATTTGTCATAAAAGCCACTGCTTGACAAAAGTTCCTATTAAGCTCAAATCTGCTTGCTGAAGCATTTGCTTTTAATGAGGCATTTTCTGCATAAAAATGCTAAAAATATTTTCCCCATTCATTATAACATGTTTTGTGGCTCATTAAGTTGGTTTTTTTGGTGGGGGGAGGTGGGAGAGAAGAACGTTAAACATTTACAGAAATGACATAAAAATATTACCCTTTGTCTTCATCTGCATAATTTTTAATAATGTCTAAATTCCAAAGTAAGAGTATAGGAAAAAGCTTAGACTAATGAATAGCAATGAGGGTACTTCATTTTCCCAATAGACATTAATAAGAGGTCATACTTATATAAAGCAGAAAATTTACCCATCTCAATGATACTATTTAGTATATCTAAGTAATTTGGGGAAACTTTAACTGTTCCATTTGTTTGATTGGGTTTGGGTCACCATGATCATTGGAAGATTTTCCATTCAAGTTGAATCCCTCAGACCTGGAGCTGACTCACAATAGAACACAGTTCTGTACGTTATGCTAATAAAGGCTATACATTGCTAAAAGAGAAAAGGCTGTTGGTATAGGGATAGGAAATTTGTAGCCAAATTGCTAGACAGACATTATCATAAATGGCAACTCTTCTTTCATTTACAAGACTTAGGTAAATCATTTTTTTTCCTTTAAAAAAGCATTCATACTGAGATTCTGATATATAATCATCCACAATTCTACAAACTATTATACTGTACCTTGGTCATTAAAAACATGGACTGTGAAGCTAACTGCCTGGAATTGAAGACCAGCTCTGCTATTTAAGAGCTATGTGACCCTGAACAAGCTAATCATTTCAGTGTCTCAGGGATAATAATAGCTGCTGCTGCTGCTGCTAAATCGCTTCAGTCGTGTGTGACCCCATAGACAGCAGCCCACCAGGCTCCCCCATCTCTGGGATTCTCCAGGCGAGAACACTGGAGTGGGTTGCCATTTCCTTCTCCAATGCACGAAAGTGAAAAGTGAAAGTGAAGTCGCTCTCAGTCATGTCCGACTCTTAACGACCCCATGGACTGAAGCCTGCTAGGCTCCTTCGTCCATGGGATTTATCAGGCAAAAGAGTACTGGAGTGGGGTGCCATTGCCTTCTCCGATAATAAGAGCTAGTACTTCATAAGTCTGAGATAAGGATTGAATGTATTAATACATGTAAACAGCACCTGAAGCCTAATAAGCACTTAATATGTATTAGATATCATCATCATTACTACAATTAGGCAATCAAGTCCCTGAGGTTATCAGTGATACAGTGATAAAACCATGGGTCTAACTAGGTTTAAATCCCAGTTCTGTAAGCTGAAAATTCAAGGGGTATCTCCTAACTAAGCCCATATGGAAACCCTCCCTCAGCAAGGGTGGCAAAGGAGGTGATTTCAGGCCCAGATGGTTTCCCAGGGGAATTCAACTAAACCTTCAAAGTCCAGGTAACACCAATGTTCTATAAGTTGTTTCAGCACATTGAAAATGAAGAACTTCCCCATTTCTTTTATGAACTTTTTCTGAAGGTTTGATACTTAAACCTGATACGGATGGGAGGGAAAGTAGGAAGGAGGGAGAGTAAAAGGAAGGAAGGACAGACCAGTATCAATTCATGATTATTGATGCGAAACTACTAAATTAGGACTTCCCTAGTGATACAGTGGATAAGAATCTGCCTGACAATGCAGGGGACACAGGTTCAATCCCTAGTCTGGGTAGATTCCACATGCCATGGAGCAGCTAAGCCCGTGAGCCACAGCTAATAAGCCCATGTGCCACAACTACTGAAGCCTGCGTGCCCTAGAGCCCATGCTCTGCAACAGGAGAAGCCACCCCAATGAGAAGCCTGTGCACCTCAAGAAAGAGTAGCCCCTGCTTGCCGCAACTAGAGAAAGCCCACATGCAGCAATGAAGACCCAGTGCAAAGCTGAAAGAAATAAAATACATTAAAAAAACTAAATTAACTTTGAGCAAACAGAATACAGTATCACATTAAGAAATTAATATACCATGACTAAATGGGATTTAATGCAGGAATGGAAGGTTGGTTCAGTATTAGGAAATCTATTAGTATCATATACTGTGTTAATAGATCTAAGGAGGAAAAACCCATATGATTACTCCCATAGATGATGGAAAGGCCTTTAATAAAATACAAGACCTATTCTTTATGAAGACTTGAGAAAATAGGAAGTGAGTAGTACTTCATTAACAGGATAAAATATCTCTGCCTTAGTCCTAAAGCCAATATCTTACTTAATAGGGAAACATCAGAGGCATTTCTACTAAAATCAGGAACAAAGGAAGGATACTCACCATCTGGTACTAATTGGCATTATATTAGAGGGATTAATCCATGCAGTTAGACAAAATAGATCAATTACAGGTATAAGAATTGGTAAAGAAGAAGTAAACCTAAGTCTAGTTGCAGGTGATGTGATGCTATACCAGGAAAATTGTAGAGAATCAATGATAAAACCAATTTAAACAATAAAAGAATTCAGTACAGTAGCAGGACACAAAAATCAATACCCTTCATTTACACAAATGAGAGACAATTAGATGACCTTGTGCTATAGAAAATTCCATTTACAGCAATAACAAAGAAGGTTACTTAGAAATTAATTTTTCACAAATGTACAAAACCTATACTGGAAAAACTTGAAAGCATTCCTACAAGACACAAAATTAGACTTTCTCAAATGGAAGGACATCCCTTGTTTTTGTATAGAATGATTCAGCTCTATAAACAAGTCAATTCTAAGTTAACTTAGAAATTTAGCACAATCCCCCCAAAAATTACTCATAAGCTTTTTTTAAAAGGGAGTTAGATCCATTGATACTGAAGTCCTCATGGAGAAGCAAACCTACAAGAACAGCTAGAGAAAATTCTGGCCAAGATGGCAGAGTAGAAAAACCCTGAGCTCACCTCCTTTCACAGCACACCAGAACCACAACCATCTGCAGAACAACCATCTGTGAAAAAGACCAAAACATACCAGAAAAGATCTTTAACAACTAGAGACATAAAAAAAAACACACACACACACACAAACATAAAGAAGGAACCACAACAAGATAGGAGTGGATTTGTGATATAATTAAGTCTCATACCCCCAAGGTGAGTGACCCACAAACTGGAGAATACTTAAATTACAGAGTTTATCCCACAGGGGAGCTCTGAGTCCCACATCAGGCTTCCTAGCCCAGAGGTCCTGCAATGCTCTGGGAAGACAAGCCCCCAGAGCATTTGGCTTTGAAGGCCAGCAGGGTTTAACCACTCTTAAAGGACGCACACACAAAAACCTCATGCACACCAAGATCCAGGGCAAAAGCAGTAATTTCATAGGAGCCAGGGCCAGAACTATCTGCTGGTCTTGAAGAGCCGCCCAGAGAGGTGGGGGCAGCTGTGGCTCATCCCGGGGACGTAGACACTGGCAGCAGCCATATTTAGGAACTTATTCTACCCCATGGAAGTCAGTGCTGGCAGGTGCCATTAGCTCAGT